GAAAGACTGCTGGGGTCAAATAACCCCAGCAAGGTATGTGTCCAGTCTCCTTTTGAAGACCTCCAGGGAATATACCTGCACTACCCCCGCAGGAAGTCTATTCTACAGTCTGGTCACATGAACTGTGAAGAAGTTTTTCCTTCTATCTAGTCTGAAACATTCTGGAGTTTATGATCGTTGCTCTTGGTTTTCCCCTGGGGCGCTTTGGTGTAAGTTGTTTGCCTAACCCCTGATGCTCTCCCCTGATATATTTGTACAGAGACACCAAATCCCCCTAAAGTCTTCTCTTTTTCAGGCTGAACACTCCCATATCTGTCAGCTTTTCCTCATATGACTTGCTCTTCAGACCTCTAATCATACAAGTGGCTCTTCTCTGGACTCTTCAAGCTCCTCCACATCCTTGAAGTGTGTTGCCCAGAACTGGACACAGTACTCCAGCTGCGGCCTCATCAATGCTGAGTAGAGTGGGAGAATAACTTCCTTAGCTTTGCTTGAGATGCATCGGTTGATGCATGCCAGCATATTGTTCGGTCTGCTAACTGTAGCATCACACTGGTGGCTTACATTCATTTTATGGTCAATTATGACCCCCAGGTCCCTTTTGGATGTGGTGCTACCTAGTGTAGCACCATTGACCCTGTAAGTTTGTTGCATGTTTTTCCTCCCCAGATGGAGCACTTCACACTTCAGTGTTGAACAGCATCTGGTTCTGGTCCACCTAACTAATCTGCCTAGGTTCACCTGGATCGTCAGCCTACCCTGATGCATGGCTGCATTTCCCCACAGCTTACTGCCATCGGTGAACTTTGCCAGTGTGCTTTTCACCCCCACATCCAGATCACTGATGAAGAGGTTGAAAAGCACTGGTCCAAGTACTGAATCCTGGGGGACCCCACTGGCTACCTTCTGCCAGGTCGACACAGATCTGTCTATTAGTACTCTCGAGGTCTGACCCCACAGCCAGTTTCCCATCTATCCGACCATTGAATTGTTGAGCCCATAGTCCCTTAGTTTTACCTTGAGAGCCTCATGGGACACCAAATCAAAGGTCTTCCTAAAGTTCAAGTAAATGACATTGACCTCAGCTCCCTTATTCAGGTGGTGAGTAACCTGGTTGTAGAAGATGAGGTTAGTCAGACAACCTTCCCACGATGAAACCATGCTGCCTGTTGTTCTGAATTTTGCTTTTTACAAGCTTATTGCATATGGACTCCTTGAAAATTTTTTTGAGGATTTTTCCTGGGATTGAGGTCAGGCTGATCTGCCTGTAGTTCCCTGGGTCCTCTCTCCTCTCCTTGAAGATGGGCACAACATTGGCCCTCTTCCAGTCTTCTGGGACCTTTCCTGAGCACCACGAATTCTCAGAGGTTCACCAGTGGTCCTGCAATGTTTGGCTAGTTCAATCAGCACTCTGGGACGGAGTTCATCCAGTTCTGCTGACTTAGATATCCAACCTCTCTAGCTGTTCTTTCACTAGCTGTACATTGATTGTTGGTAGGTGATCATTTCTGCTGTGACTGTTCTGCATCATATTTGCATTTGGCAGGCTATCACTGGTGGAATACAGATGTGAAGTACTTATTCAGGAATTCTGTTTTCTCCTTGGTGTCAGTGATCAGATGTCCAGATGCACTGAGCAGTGGTCCCACATTTCCATTGGTTTGCCTCCTGTTACCCAAGTACTTAAAGGACTTATTCTCCTTGATTTCGGTTGCTAACCTGAATTTGGTCACTGCCTTTGCTTTTCTTATTTGCCTCCTACAGGTGTGGGTCGATCTTATGTAGTTCTCTGTGGGTCTATTCCTAGCTTCCATTGTTGGTAAGCCTCCCTTTTCTTTTTCTGAAGATCTGTGACTTCCCTACTGAGCCAAGATGGACGCCCAGCCCCCATATCTCCTTTTTTGCCTATCGACATGGACAACTTCTGTGCACCAGGGATCGTGTTCTTGAGGAATGACCACTCTTTATCCACACTTATCCTGTGGTCCATGATCCTGTAGGGCATTACTTACTAAAGTCGTCCTTAGCTTATTGAAGTCAGCTTTTTTGAAGTCAAGAATTTGTACCTTACTGACAGATTTCCCAGCCCTATGACAGACAGTGAAAGTGACAGTGTTATGGACTTTATCATCAGATCACTCACCAGGTCACCCCTCTTGGCCAAAACTAAATGTAGAAGGGCATTTCCTCTGGTCAGCCCGTTTACTTCCTGAGGTAGGTAGAGCTCATTGGTACAAGTTGCGAATCTATGCAACCAGTCAGATCTGGCGGAGTGTTATGAACGATTCATGCCCCCGGTGGCTGGGGGGCCGCGGTAAGCGGGGGAGCTCCTGCAGACCTCACCAGTGCTGTGGGTGGTGGCGGGGTGAGTGCTGACCAAGTGTCAGA